ATAAAATTAATTTCTTGAAGGATCCTTGTGGAAATATCACCAATTATTAATTAAAGTATCCTCTTTTTAATGCAACAAGCCGTTTTGAAAAATCACGTTCAGTTCTTGAGAAATAAATTTTTGAAACGATCGACAATTTTTTCGAATTTTACAATTTTCGTCGATTAAGCTTTAAAAATTCATATAAAATCCATATCTTGGAATATGAGTATGAAAATTTCCCAAAGTGTTAATAAAAGTGTCCTCTTTTCAATGAACCAACCCGTTTTGAAAGATAACTTTTAGTTTTTGAGAGAACATTATTTGAAGTTTTGATAAAATTTTCGATGTTGCAATTTTTATCGATAATTTTCAAAATTCGCTATAAAATTAATTTCTTGAAGGATCCTTGTGAAAATATCACCAATTATTAATTAAAGTATCCTCTGTTTAGAGTTACTTCGTTGGTTAAATCAGCGTCAAAAAAGTTCGTTTTGTATCTTGGATCTAAATAAATAGAAATTAGCCATAAAGGCCGGATAGATATGCCGGATAACCAGATATCCGGCCGAAGAGGATGCCGAATATCCGGTATCCGACTTTTCGCAAAATCACTACCCGTTCCATCACTAATTTATGTTATTTATTTTTTATAAGGATACACCCATTCTAATTGCATTTTCTTCTCAGGTGGTGTATTATCCATTGGAGCATGATGTATTGGCGGATAAAAAGTTCGTCGTAATCCTTTTATCGTTACTCGAATTGGTTCTTCTTTGAGCACTTCTAATAAAGTATAGTCTACATATAAAATTTTATTAGATAACTATTTAATATATCATTTTTGACTTATTTTACCGGTGTTTCTAATAATTTCGCTTTCAGGAGCATATAAAGTCCTCGGTCGACTTTTGCTTCGCGCTCTCCTCTTACTTATATCTTCAACAATCGCTGTTTGTGGTTGACGAGCTCTCGATTTACGAACCGGCGACATCATCACCGCAGCCCCCATCGCTCCAACTCCCAAATAAAACGTATCTACATCTGCAAATTCATTACGGAGTTGCGAAAAACTTCGCACTTCTTGCCCGGAAACTGTGTACATTCTTTTCGCGCCGTTCATTTTAAGAACTTGTCCTAAATCTTCTAGCACTTCTTCGAACGGTTGAGTGGTGCGAAGATTTAAAAGTACACGACACTAAAAAAATGGTTATTTTAAAAAACATTTCTTTTATGTATTATTTTCTTACTTGTACAGTGTGATCCATATTATTAATGATTCGTATTACTCTTCCGGAACTTGGTTTGATACTTGTGCCGCCACCTGGCGGTGGAACGTCGGTTTCAATAATAGAGGCCTTCCTGCTGGGGGCTTTACTCCACCCTTGGCCACCGGGGGCGGCGTACCAAATGCCGTTTTTCTTACCGTAACTAGCCGCCTAAAAACAAAACGATAAAAATCAAGTAGAACAAAAAAAAAATACGCTATAAATTATTTTAACCGGGTACGAAGCGTTCAAAAGAAAATCGATGAGAAAAGGGAACGTATTTTCATATATGTGAAGTTAGTTTAATTACTTCCGCTTTAAGAAGCGTAGAAAAGGTGGAATTGTGAAATAGTTGGGTTGAGTTGAAGCCAATTTAGTAACTGGAAACTATAATTATGGAATGATTATAATGAATTGGTATATTTTCTTGGAAAATTTCCAAATGATATAGCTAGAGTGATTAAAAGGAAACAGGGGAAAAGCTTTTATATAGGAATTAGGAAATGAGTCATTTTCTCAACTCAAATTTTAAATATCTACGTTTTTTGCATTTGACATCAAACATTTTAAAACTGCATCATTTTAAAACGTAATAACTTCAATTTCTATCACAATGCTTTCTTCACCAAAGTAATTCATAAAACAAGTTGAAAATTTTCAATGTTAATGAAATATGAAGATATAAATTGTGTTATCAGTAATCTCATTTCAAGATTTGGAGGCATACTTTAAGCTAGAAATGGTGTTTACTGTACTTGAATTGCAAAGGATATCATTCTGAAAAAGCTTGGTATTGCAGTTGTTCCCAAGACTTTAGCTTTTTGGGAAATGCTTGTACATTTGAAATCATCCCCGCCAATTCCTTGTTTCTCTCTTCAAATGCCAAATTAAGCTAAATTAGTTTTTCTGTAAGATCCACAAGAAACCCAAAATATTGCAACCAGATCTTGTTTTAATCTTCATCAGAACTCATCACAACTGTAATACCATCGGTTATCAAAAATACCATCTTAAACACTACTGGTAGCAGAAAAATAGGGCAAGTTTGGGAAATGAGGGAATCACAGTCGTCACATGGGTAACATAATTTGACATGAAATGAGTATACTTATGGAACTAGCAGCTAAATTCAAAAGTACTACTATATATTCAAGTACATCTTTAACACACTACACTACACTACTCTGTGATACAGAAAAAGTAGGAATACTATCATGATAGGAAACACATTGTCATAACTAATATTGTAGCAGAAGCAAAGACATGACAACCTCATCAATAAATAAACATTGACATCACACGATTTTTAGCCGCCTTTCATTATTGGATAAATTTTTATTTGTTATATATTCTAAAAATTGTTATTATTATTATTTTAATAACTTGAAGGAAATAGAAAAAACAGGATGAACACAGGCTGGTAACAGAATAAGGTGACTAGTAACGGTATGAAAGGTACCGTATAGAAAAAGGAAAGACTGGAAAGAGACTGGTAATGCAAAAGAGAGACAGAACAGAAACCGGATTTATCATTGTCCAGATAAAGAAGATTGGAAGAAGATTGTAAAGGCAAAAACACACAAAACAGAAAAGAGAAAACCTGGAAAGAGACGAAACATATAGAACACGTACTGATAAGAGAAAGCAAAGGCTGAACAGGGAGGTGACGATTTGAGAAGATCCTGTAAAGGTAAGAAAGATTCTAGACAAAGAAGTGGAAAACCGGAAAGAAATTGATATTAGAAGAAAAGACAGGATAGATGTAGTCTGATAATAGCAGAGAGAAATTGAACAGAACTTGGAAAGAAAAGAAAAAAATTGGACAGAGAGGATAAACAAAAAAGAGAAAAAGAATAGCAGAAAAAGATTGACAAAGACTATAAAGAGAGGAGGGGACTAAGTTGGAAGGCTAAGAAGGAACGTGACAGAGGTGACGAACATATCAAAGACACTGAAAATATCACAAAGAGATTGAAAAGATAACAAGAAGAAAGGTAATAAAAAAGAAAAACTGAACAGAGACTGAGGAGGGAGACTATCAAGGGACTTGATAGAGTAGTGTAAGGCTAGTAGAGACTGGTAATATAGGAAAGAGACTGGAAGAGACTATAAATGCAACAAAGCAAGTTAGGTAAGATTTAGTCTAATAATATAAAAAAAATACTCGACAGAAACTGGATAGAATAGAAATAGATTGAATAAGGACTGGAAGAAAAATAGTGTAGGAAGAGTGATAGAAATAGAAAAGAGACTGTACTGGCAAGAAAGATCCTAGACAGAGAAGAGAAAAGAGGATCCTAAAAGACTAAAGAAACCGACAAAGACTGTAACGAGAGGAAGGGACTAGGGTGAACACAGGGAAACTGAAAAGACTTAAAAGGAAGTTGATAGAGTGAGAAACATTTGAAAAATACTGTTAATAATATTAAGAAATTGAACAGAAATTGAGAAGACAGGAAAGACCTGAACTGAATAATAAATGATGAACACTGAATATAGACTGAATACAGACTAGAAAGAGAAAAATTGTTCTGGGCACGAGGAGGAAAACTGCTAAGGTGGCTGGCAGTGGAAGGCTGGTAAGATACTGGTAATAGAAGTAAGACGATTGATAAAGCCTAGCAGGACCTATACATATAGGCAAGAAACGAACTAAACAAAAGCTAATATTGGTGAAAGAGACTGAACAGATGAGGATTGAGCAAAGAGGAGGGAAACTGCAAGAAGGCTATAAAGGGACGATGCATGATGATGGAAGTATGAGATATTTTTCTATTGAATCAATTCTAATATTTTAAAGTATTCGTCTTGTTCTTCATTCCATAAGGAACAGTGACCGTTAAGGTTTTTCCAGTGAGAATTGTGAAATTATGTACAACAAGCTTGATCAGCACATACTGCAGATTTACTGCACCCATTTTTAATCTTCTTAGACTTTTGCTTTCCAACCTTATTACTCATTATCCCATGTTCTACCCTTTACTCATGTTCAATGTCTTTATCAATATTTATTGTTTTAAATTCCTAACAGATATTAATTGCATTGTTTTTATTAGGTGTTAAAAGGTCGTAAATACATGTGTGGATGACGTATTAAATCAAACTAAATTAACAGGGATTTATTATATTGTTCTTTATAGAAACGATACAACTGATTTTTGGGATTGTACTACATCAGATTTGTTAGATGATCGAAAGTAATGGAATTTTAATTTTGGCAGATCATTTAAAACTTCTTGTGTGATGTTTCAATCTCAAAACTTTTAGGTGCAATTCTTATTCTTGGAGCATTTAGATCTTTATGTGTGTTGTCTAAATTATTGTCACCTATCATTTTCAGTTCCATATCAGTAAGTAATGTTTTGCTTACTCGCCTATACACAGTATCTTTAAAAATTGACCCTAGTCATATTAAGTTATTAATGTGTTCGCTATTTTCTGTCCATGATTTAGCTCAAAAGTATTTAAAAATTATTTATTACCTTCCTCTGTAATAAATTGTCTATGGCAATTGGCAAGAACACTAGAAATGATAAAAAATTTAGCATAATAATATCAAATCTGGAGTTAATTTAGTCGACAAAATGTTTGTAACTTTTAAATACACAGCGACATACAATCGTTTTTATATAGCCTAACAGGGCCTATATATGCAAGAAAGGAACTAAACAAAAGCTAATATTGGTGAAAGACACTGAACAGATGAGGATGGAGCAGAGAGGAGAGAAATTGCAAGAAGGCTATAAAGGGACGACAGTGACTAAAAAGTGGCACGATGATGGAAGAATGAGATATTTTTCTATTGAATCAATTCTATTATTTTAAAGTATTCGTCTTGTTCTTCATACCATAAAGAACAGTGACCGTTAAGGTTTTTCCAGTGAGACATTATGTACAACAAGCTTAATAAGCACATATTGCAGATTTACTGTACCTATTACGCACATGACAACCCTAAAGTAATGGACATAACCCGTCCATCAGGTAGGGTTCGCAGCATAACTGGGAATATTTTTACACCCAACAGAGTAAGGGCTATTTCTAATTTCAAGCCCCTAAAATCGCCTGGAGGAGATGAAATTCTGCCTATTTTTCTGCAAAAAGGCTTAGAAGACCTTCTTCCAGTAATAATATCCCTATATATAGCTAGCTACAGCTTTAGCTATATACCCACACTATGGAGGAAAGTAAAGGTGGTCTTCATACCTAAAGTGGTACGCGTTTAAACGTCGACGAAGGCATACAGACCAATTAGCCTAACTTAATTTCTCCTTAAAGGGATGGAAAACGTAATCGATCAATACATTAAGAATGGAGTGCTAGTAACCAATCCACTCCACCCTAGCCAACATGCTTACCAGAAAGCGGTCGCCTACGCCTCATTGGTTTGATGCCCAAAAACAAAACATAAAACAGCACAACAACAGCTGGCACAAATCCATCGGTTAGCATGTCTTAATATAACGGGTGCAATGACATCTTGTCCGACGGCTGCTTTGGAAGCCCTGCTCAGTCTCACACCACTCCATTTATATATTCAAAAGCAGGCAGCTTTATGTGCCTTATCACTGAAAACAGTTTCTTCACTCAAGTTGATGCAGGGTAACCTCAGAAGACACCTCGAAATCCTCAAGAAACCATGTCTAAATCACCTGACTGAAATTAAAACGTACCTTATACCAACAGAATATAATTTCAACTAGCCGTATAAGGTATAAGGTCATATTTAGAAGCAGGGATAATTGGGCGAAGGGTGAGCCTCAACTTAAAAGAGGAGTCCTAGCCTAGTACACCGATGCTTCAAAGACAGTTAGATCCGGAGTAGGTATGGGCATCAGTAAACTGCCCCTCAGCTCGGATATAACAATTTTCCAAGCAGAAGTTCATGGTATAAACTTCTGCACCGCTTTAAACCTACAGAAGGGACAGAAAGGTGCATCCATAAACATTTTCACAGACAGTCGGGACGCCTTAAAGTAAATTCAAGCCTGCACGTGTGACTCAGCACTGATCAGAGAATGTACCAGCAACCTGAGAGAACTCGCTAGGGGTAATAATGTTACCCTATGGTGAGTTCCAGGTCACAGCAACATTGAGGGCAATAAGAAGACGTACAAGCTGGCCAGAGAGGCAGCGAAAACGCCCTTCATTGGAGCCCAACCTGGTTGTGG